GAGTGAGAGAGAGAGATATAGTGTGTGTGTGTGGATGTCTGCTTCTGTGTGTGTGTCTGTGTGTGTATGTGTCTTATCCACTTTGTGTGTCTGTGTGTGAGAGTGATTGTGTGTGTGTGTGTGTGTGTGTGTGTGCTTGTGTGTGTGTGTGTGTGTGTTTGAGTGTGTTTGAGTGTATGTGTGTGTGTGTGTGTGTGTGTGTGTGTGTGTGTGTGTGTGTGTGTGTGTGTGTGTGTGAGTGTGTGTGTGATCTGGAGCATGTCGGTGACCTGTAGCAGCAGCAGTCTGCAGTGATGTTCCCAATAGTGTATTTGGGTCAGAGCTGAGTCCCGTTCTGGTGTCTGTGTGTGATTATGGGTAATTAAAGCGTCTGTTTTAATGTCAGAATCCTGACAGTGTCAAAGCACACACACGCGCACACACACACACACAGATCCCGAGTGCTGATTGTTGATCAGTGCTGATGCTGAGTGTTGTGAGGAATAAACATGTCAGATGGTGGTTCAGCAGGATCTGGGCTGGGTGTGTGTCTGTCCTCAGCTCACTCTTCACTGTTGGTTGGTTTTCAGAGATCAGTTTTGGTTTTCAGATGTTAAAGTCAGATATTTGACTCTATAAAGGCTGAATGATGCGCTGTAGACAGAGATGGACAGGTTTGCCTCTTGTAAAACTCTTTATTTCACTGCTGATTACAGAGAGAAGAGATTTGACTACAGTCACTCATGATGAAGAGATGGATAGACAGACAGACAGACAGACAGACAGACAGATATTATTAACCCCTTCAGCAATATTAGTGTTGGATTGTCTCCAGAGCAAACCACTGTTATACAATGACTTGCCTAATTACCCTAACTTTACCCTGATTACCCTAGTGAAGCCTTTACATGTCGCTGTGAGCTGAACACTAGTGTCTTGAAGAAGATCTAGTCTAATATTCTGTGCTGTCTTCATGATACTGACTGTAGTGTTTAGTACTGTTGTGTCTGAGGCGTGTTGTTAGGGCTCTTTGTTGAACAGCACTTGGCGATTATCATTAGATGAAGGCTGAGATGCCCCAGTTCCCTCAGTAGTGTGCAGTGTTTAGATGTTCACTGTTCTGGAAAGCTGCAAACATCCTGAGGAGCACACTGATGGGTTGCAGAGCGCGGCTGAATATTCGCATTGTTCCCCGAACACTGTATTTATTCCAGAGTGGTAAATGACCGGTTGAGTGTCAGTTTGGGTTTAACCTCTGGAGTTTGTGTCCTGACTATATTAAACTGCAGCCGCAGGGAGATTGTGTGTTTCTGCGAGTGATTTTTAATAGCCGGGTTCAGTCTTCAGGACTCCACCCGATTCTGCTGCAGCAGGAACAAACTCTGACTGACGGAGCTTTCTACATCTCCAACATCACCCTTAAACACAAGACATTAATCCATCAGTTCTGGATAATGTCACGCATTATATCCCGCTCTCTCTATAATAATATCCAGATGTTCATTTAGAGACATTTTAGCCTTTATTAACTTAAGAACTCGTATTATGTGTGGGTATTATTCTGACTGTCTCCGCCTCCGCAATCGTACATTAGGCTTCAATCAACATCAAATAATTAAGTCTGATTTACACATTTTTTGTTTTCTGTTATCATCGACCGTTACCGCTAACTGTTACCGTTGACTCAGTCAACTCTGTTACAATCGACTCGGTTACCGTTGACTCATTGTAAACTCTGTTACTGTCAACTCTGTTACCCTCAATGCTGTTATCATCAACTCTGTTACCGTCGACTAGGTTACAATCGACTCTGTTACCGTCGACTCTGTTACCATCTACGCTGTTAACATCAACTCGGTTACAATCGACTCTGTTAACATCAATTCTGATATCATTGACTGTTACCGTTGACTCATTGGCAACTATGTTACCGTCGACTGGGTTACCTTTGACTCAGTCAATTTTGTTACCGTCAACTCAGTTACCGTTGACTCATTGTCAGCTCTGTTACCGTCAACTCTGTTATTATCAACTTTATTAATGTCAACTGTTACTGTCGACTGTTAGTCAACGCTGTTACCATCAACGCTGTTACAGTCAACTCTGTTTCCATCAATTCTGATATCATCAACTTTGTTAAAGTCAACTAATTGTCAACTCTGTTATCCGTCAACTCTGTTATCCGTCAACTCTGGTATTGTTCATTGTCATCATCAACTCTGTTATCGTCAACTCTGTTATCGTCAACTCTGTTATCGTCAACTCTGTTATCGTCAACTCTGTTATTGACTCTGTTATCGTCAACTCTGTTATCGTCAACTCTGTTATCGTCAACTCTGTTATCGTCAACTCTGTTATCGTCAGCTTTGTTATCGTCAACTCTGTTATCGTCAACTCCGCGTCAACTCTGTTATCATCAACTCTGTTATCCGTCTACTCTGTTATCGTCAACTCTGTTATCGTCAACTCTGTTATCCGTCAACTCTGTCAACTCTGTTATCGTCAACTCTGTTATCGTCAACTCTGTTATCGTCAACTCTGTTATCGTCAACTCTGTTATCGTCAACTCTGTTATCGTCAACTCTGTTATCGTCAACTCTAGTACTGTCAACTTAGTGTCAACTCTTTTATCGTCAACTCCGTTATCGTCAACTCCGTTCCAGTCAACTTAGTGTCACTC